ATACGTTAGAATTATTAGATGCATACTGAGTGACCGAACTCCGACCAGCTCGAAAATACGCGAAAAGACGCAGATGCGTATCGATCGGGAGAATCGACAACCCGCAGATTCGACAATCTGGCACTCAGGCATAAGAACTGGATTGATATATTTGACCCTGCCTGAAGCGGCCTTCATACTTAGCGATGACGCGCTACGACGCGCTGCCACCGCATTAGCGCTCCCAAGCTATAGACGCGAACACAGCCATAGAGGGGTATCGATCGGCGCGAGCCGCTAGTGTTTTGAGAGAGTACGGAAGAACAAGGGAGTATGCGTTGCCTAATCACAGTCTATTACCCTCCTGTTCTTCTATACCCCCCAAAATGTCTCCGGCTGGCGCCGGTCGATATTAGACTGCGTGATCGAGCAACGGCCATCCCTATTTTCGCTCAGCTTTGGATGATCCTCACGATAATGTGTGTGTGGTCAGTCTGAAAGAGTAGTCAGTGTTTGGAGAGCCATACCTAGATGATATTCCGCGGTTATAAAATGGGCGGAGACGGCTTACCACTGTACGTCCCTTACTGATACACTCCTTCTTTGTGTTGATGAGCCAGTAAGGAGGAGCGGAGCATCAGTTAGAAAAGCGCGTGGTTGATTGCCTGATAACATACGATTAACGTTGACTCCCTTTGACCTTCCAAATTTGTGGTATCAAAACCAATTACAAGTATCTTTTCTTGTAATAAGTTGTTGTTTTAGGTTTTCGCCTATGTGAATGAGATTCCACATCCTTTGTCGCCGTTCCCAATACGCGTCTATGATTCCTCGGAAATAATTGTCGGCGAAATACCTGCTCGTTCAAATCTCAATGATACCGTTGAGTTCACCGGTGAGTCCGACTTCTTTGCAGCGATCGTTACAATCAAACTAAATTTTGGTTCTAGTGGATGCCGGCCGAGCTGGTTTTGGTAACCTGGAAATGGCTATCAAAGACGCTGATGGGATCATCATACCATCTCATGTCGCTCAACTGGAAAGTGGTACTGCCAAGTTCCTTGTCACGTTCACGCCGACATCTAAAGGGCAACATACCGTCAATATCACATTCAACAAGGAAGTGCTTAAAAGTAAGAGCTGGACTGAACTCCTTCACTTACAACAAACAGTAAGGTAATTGTGAGCAAAACAGTTGAAAGTATCCTTTTCAGATTCACCCTTCGAAGTGCTTATCACTGATCCTCCAGCGCCACTCAATGAGTCTGTCGATGGATCGGCATCACCGTCGTTGTCCAAGAAAGATCCCAAGAAAGAAAAGGAGGATAAAAAGAAGGAGGAGAAGGAACGTGTGAAACGAGAGAAAGAAGAAAAGGCCGCTACATTGAAGAAGGACAAAAGGGTATGCCGTAAATTTATAGTAATACTTCTGATAAGGCTCATCAAAAGGCTAGTGGTGTATACAAATCATGCGTTGAAAGTGAGGAGGGGCGTGTCTACAGAATTATTTGTGGGCGTGGCAGCGGCCGTTTTTCTGAAGACAGTTGCGGGCGTGACAGCGACCGCTCGCGAGGAAAGTTGCGGGTCCATGCAGAGAAGGTGTGTGGCTTCCCTCTTATGCCGTCTGCGCTCTCTTATGCATGCGCTGTCTGCGTCTCTGACTGAATCGGCAGCTGGCCTGAACGCGCCTTCCCCCTCTTCTGAATCTGGGCTTCACTTTTGCATAACCCTTTTTTAAGTTGTTTGATGCCTTGTTACGAATCGATCCTACCGCCAGCGCCACTCGAGCATAAGAATAGTGTAGACGCCAATTTGGCGCCACCACCTTCTTCACAGAAAATTCGGATAAACTTGCACACAAGGGCTGTTTGGCGTCCTGACCAGGACAAGACAATCATACCAGCGCAAATGCTGACGTAGGGCAATTTAGTCGTCTGCTTTCTACTAATGTTGAGTTTGGAGGGGGAAGGGGACGCTCTTACCCCGCCTTGTATGAGGCCTTATTGGTGCGTCAAGATTATTATATTCGTGATACTATCCCGCCTCTAACATGGATGCAGAATAGTAGGAATTTGGAGAAGAGTCGTAGGCGCGAGTGGGTGGGCATTTGGGCGCTGCTGAAAAAGCACCGGACTCAGAAAAATGGTGTCATGTTGCGTTACTCTAGGGCTGAAACCCGTAGCATGGGGGTTTTAAAAGGCTGGATTTTTGGGCTGCCATGCAGAGTTCTCTACCATTAGTTTTTTTTCTAGGACGAGCGACTCTAATATAGTGTAGTTTTTGCTAGCGAGAACCGACATCTAGGTTGGTTAGGAAGAGCGTGTCGGGTTAGCTCCGTTCGGCCGGGCTTTTGGACGACGACCGGAGGGGCGGCGGTGAATTGCGAGAACGCATCAACCATGGCATTTAACTTCTGTATAAAAGCATATGCAGAAACAAAGTCAACACCAATCATCTTTCTCATTAAAAGGCAGTTGTACACGATGGTTTCCTAGCGGCTGGAAATCGCTCAGTTGTACTTAGGTTATGTAGGCGCCCGTTCTCAGCACCGGGGTTGGCTTGGCTGTAAAGTAGTGGGGAGAATGGCGAAAGAGGAGTGAAGGTCAAAATCCTGCGAGAGACAGCTTGCATTTCGAGTGATACGAAATCGTTTCGGGACGAGTTTCCGTAGTGGCATTTAGCGGAGGGCCAGTTCACCGCTAGGCCAGAATGTATGGTACAGTGCGTGGTGTGCGGCGCATACAGCGGTTTCAATAGAATCGAGGTTCGCGTTTGATAAATTTGGCTCGAGCACCAATCGATTAGAGCGTCAGGAACGGTCGTCCATTGTGGGCGCGGGCGTGGCGGGCGTTTGGGACGTAAGTTGTGGCTTGATAGGGCCCTTATAAGGGCACCTTCCTCGGGGAAACCGCTATGCAGCGCCTGCCCAGAATTCTATCCTGCCAGGAGTATTGATCCTAGTCGTCTTGGGGGATTTATCGTGCCAACTGCCTTTGATCGTTGAGAACTACTTAAAAATCATAGTAATCTACGTTTGGGGGAAGTAGATTCTTTTGACTAGGACGCGCCACACGCATAGATTTGTTTACCGAGAGGTTGGGGTCGTAATCAAGTTGTAAGAAAGGAAATCGTGTTTTTCCTGTTTTCCGAGGTAGGCCTGCTCTTTGGTCATAATATAGTGCGTAACATCGCATTCAGTTAGGAAGGGGGTGAGGAGGACGGGATGATCCCCTCCGGCTGCTTTGCTCTGCCATTAGTGATCGGAAAGTGATTGGTTTATGAAGGCAACAACCAGTGGTGAAAACGTCGTAGGTGGGGACCGATTGATTGCGATGATATCAACCGTACTTATGTTGCTTTTAGTAGTGTTCTCATTTCCAAAAAGGGTCCATTTCTGCAGAGGGTTCAAAATGCTCTTAAAAGCAGTTGGCACGATAAACCTGAACGCCTTGAATCGATACACCCGGCAGGACGGAATATCGCGCCCCTGAGCAGACACTGTTGGCGCTTTTTCAAGGAAGTACCCTTATAAGGCCCTATCAAGCTACAACATACCGACCCGGACGCCCACCGCGCCCGCCCGCCCACAAATGGACGACCGTACCTGATGCTCGTATTGCTTCATTTGCAAAGTATATGAAGCGAAGGATTGATC